CAGGCTCCCACTTGCTGCTAGCAGGCTTTTGTTTGCTGGGAACAGACTTTGCCTGCTTGGGGGCTTCTGCTCCATCCCCCTGCTGTACCTGGAAGAGACACCGAGCAGGCAGGTCATATTGGCAAAGCAGCAGCAGTGAGAAATCCCAGTGGGAAGCAAGATCAAACCCACACACAGACATACCACATAGCAGCCGGCAGCAACAGCAGAGTGAAATAAAGGGTATTTTTAACTACCGGATGCAAAGGCAAATAAAATGCAATGCATCTTTGGAACCAAACCTGACCAGTCATATCACTCTGCCTGTCGCACCACCTCTGTTATAAGAAAAAAACCCAGCAATTAGAGCTCCCCTGACACAGTAGAATCGAAACAGCTCCATACTGCTCGAAACCTCGAGCCCCTCTCTAAACAGGAAGGCCGCTCAGCACCAGGCAGCAGCGGTTATGTATTCAGAGGAGTACAACTTCCCCATGCACATTTTGAATCAGAAAGCTTCTAAAAAATATGAATCTTCATTTCTACCTAGGAGAACTTTTTACAACCTCTGCTCTCTCCTGTGCCTGATGAAGGGCGAGCGTGCCCGAAAGCTTGCAAATAAATACAATAATTTGTTTGCAAATATCTAGTTGGTCTAATAAAAGAGACCACCTCTTTCACGAGTTTTGAGTCTAAAAAATAAATTATCCCACCCACACAAGTATATTGAATTATATACTCCACTTCTTGATTTCCCCCTGGGCAGGCAGGGGGGTCTTAAAACACCTCAAAACATTGCCACCTTTTACAGGCAAAGACATAGAGGGAATTAAGCAGCTTGCCAAATATCAAGCACAGAATCAGAGGCAGAGCGACCAAAATCACATGGGCGTTTTGACTCTCTAACTAGTCCCCTCTTTAACTAGTCTTGGAGTTTAAGCTTCCAAAAGCAAGAGACATTTACTGCACTCGATCCCTGAGGATGCACGATTCCAAAACTAATTGCTCATTAATTTACACGAGGTGCTGATACAAGACACTTGAAAAAGTATTCCTTGTTGCCTGTCCTCTTGCATCCTTTAAGCTGGGAAACACAGGATACAGCGAGATGCCAAGAGGGACAGAGGAGAAAGTTGATCCTGAATAAGGAACAGAAAAGAAGCCCCCCACCCCCCCCCCCCACAAAAAAAAAAAAACAACCACACTGAACATCTGCAGTGCCACTTTCAGAGCACAAGAAGATGCTTTTAGGTGCAAGACTATACAACCTTGGTAGGAATCGTCTGCTTGATGAACAGCACATCATGATTGCCTCCTCGTAGGATAGGTAAGGCAGGCTCACAGTTGAGACAGGAAAGCTACAGGGAGTTCATCCTAATAATTGCCGAGGAAGGAGGCAGAAGCTGACATCAGAATAATTACAGGCTACAGTGTTAGGCAAGTGGATCCAACAGGGATGCTTCCCACACACCAGTCAAATGCTTAAAAGGACCAGATGAGCCCTACATGCAACTGTTAAACTATAACCAGTTCAAATGTTATCGGCAAGTGAATATAAGGTTTGTCCCCACGTTATTTCACGCCAACACCATAGCAATGCATCCAAATAACCATGGGCTTTTGGCAAAATTCCCACTGCCCCCTCAGACACTTAAATCACTTATTTCTTAAGGTCTTACTCTAGAGCTCAATGCCAAAGGAAAAAAATGGGATTCCTACATTGAAAATCTCAGAGCAGTGTGGCCGAGACCAAAGAAAGAAGTTATTTGTGAGCAGGAGGGACTGGAGAGTGGACTGGACAGGACACTGCCATGGATGAGCTGCAACGACCAGCAGGCATCTATATTCAGCTTGCAGAGCGTTAGGTTAGCAATCCTTCACCCCATGCACCAACAGGAAGGATCCCAGATGGAGGGAGGGAGCGAAGAGCTGGCTGAGGACTCTAAAGTCATTTTTCTTGGCAGTTCTCATTTAAATGCAATCTCTGGAAGGCCTCTCAGGGAGACCACTTGCTCCACCATTTCTTGCCTATACATTTTGCTCCACTTGTTGGCACGTCCCCTCCTCCTCCATCGGGCAACACCTAAGGGAGCACCGGCAAGTTCCCTCCCGATTCACGGAGAAGGTGATAAACCAATTATGGCAGTACCCTGGTGCCTACACAAAATCCTGGGTCCGTTCCTACAGCTCCTTCCCAGCTTTGATGGGTTCCCCACCATCGCTCACCCACTAGTACTGTTCCTACAAGGCTATTCTGTGCATTTATATTCCTCCCTCTCTGCCTCGCTGGAAAACCTGAGCTCTAACAAGTGCAGAAAAACCCATTAACGTTCATCCAGAATAATACACCATATGCCTTTAAGCCCCGCAATTAATCCAAAGACTCTCCTATCACTGTCTATACACACAGGGCAGCCTTTAGAAGTGAAAACGAATTAAAATCTGAAGGCAGCAGCCAATCCCAATGTTCAATAGCCAAGGCAGCCAGCCATCTAGCAAGTTGGTAGCAAAGCCCGGAGACTATACAGGAATCAAGATCAATGGTATGGCCCCCGCGGCCGCCGGGGTGTGTTGCAATGCAGTTTGGAGCCCACCAGCTCCGAACACGTGCCAATGCAGTCGAAACAAAAGCCAGCCATGCAGCGTTGTGAACGTGGTTAATGTACAACCGGTTACAGACAGAAGTTCATCACATCACCAGGCTTTGGAAGAACAAAGGGCGTCAGCCTCACTTCAGCTAGTCGCACAGCTCCTCCGCACGGCTCAGCCTTACCTCGTCTCCGGTCACAGTGCCAGGAACAGAACCCACGAGTCCTGAACTTAGCAGCACTTGGAGAATGACCCTCCTTAAAGGCAAAGTAATTTTTAAAAAATATATAATAATCAAAGACCCGTCTGCTTATTCTACCACTTACGTGACAGGCCCAGTGTGTTGGACATGGACAGTGCAAACTATTGTGTAAAACTCCACAACTGATGGAAGCAAGACACGGGAAAAGAAATCCTGGTGCAACAAAGGTGCTTTTGGTTTGTGTTCGCACCCTGAAATTTGTTCAAAGATGAGAGGGACGGGAGTCATGCTATACAAAAGGTCAGCAAAACGATAATATATTAAAAGAAAAAAAAGCTGGAGCTTTTCACCTTCAGATCACTGTTTCAACCCAGGAGTAAACTACAGTGGCTGTAATTTGAGGGTTGTTTTCTGGCCTCGGTAAAATGAGTTTGAGGTCCGAGCCCGGCTGCCAGGGGACAGGCAATGATGGATTATGAGATTCGGACACAGTTGGTTGCTGGCAGTCTTAGCAACTGCAACTGCGGTTTGATCAGATGGTGGCACATCCATCCCTGTCGCCCCCACGAAGCACCTTCGGTGCAAGCTGAAGCTCGCCGCTGGGATGGCAGATACCGGCCCCGGCCCCGGACGAGCTGTGCTTTGTGGATAAAAGAAGGGCTTCCACATCCACAGCCGACTGAGCACCTATAACCCGAGCTAAATTCACAGCTCTCTTTTCACTGAAGGAGCCTAATCACAGGGCGGGATCACCAGAAATTAAATGCTCACTAATTACAGGGCACAGCAGTAACTCCTGTCACTGGGAATGTTAGTGCGACGAGCAATTTGCACGTCTGCCCTGGCAGAGGTAGGGGGCCGTCACTGCTCCAGCTGGGCCATTAGATCCAACAGACCAATTTTCCACAGTCCTAAATTAGCCTCCGTGACAGGCTGCTGCCCTCGCGGCACCAAACTCCAGTTTGGAGGACTGCTCCGTACCCACGTTTCAGGGTGGCACCGTTTGCCTTGACGAGCACGGTCCACCGATGGTTTTTTGTAGTCGTGCAACTTGACTACTTAGCTTATATCATAGCTCGTCACAAGGCACCAATTATCCAGATACGTGGCTGCCATTTAAATGGAAGTTAACGACAGAAATTTTAAAGGGTTTTCTCCTCCCCTAGTGCCGAATCGAGAAGAATTTGCTCTGACCTCCCCTTAAATGATTCATAATTTCTCCCGTTGGCTGGCAGCAATGGAGCAAGGCAACCCTCTATTCCCATTTCAGAGTGAGGTAAGGTGAACGTGCCTGTAGCGAGAGACTATTCATGAAGCAGGGAAGATAAGATACTCGCAAGAAAGCAGTTTCCATAGGAAAAGCAACCGTCCGGCTACTCAGAGCATATCTGCAGCCATTCAGGCAAAAGCTAGAAAGAAGTGCCATTAAAGTCTTTACTCTATCCAAAGTCAGCTGGTTTTAATTGTGGCCAAAACCCTACTTGTATCACAGGTGAGATTTAGCTAAGATACAGATCAGTTTACCTCCAAGCAAGTCACGTAGTGCCTGAAGTGACTTTACAAGTCTTGGGGTTTTTTGCAAGAAACCCATCTCTTGCAAGGCAGCACAATCTATGAAAATAAATATGGAACTGGGCATTAGGAGCTAACGATCTCAGCCCTGCTCTGCCGCAGACTTGCAGTCTGGCCTTGGATGCATCACTTCCCTGCTCTGTGCTTCCGAGGGCACGTCTACATGTTCGTTAATGCGTTTTTGTTAACGTGCATTAAAACTTAGTACTTCCATTATGAGGTACTAGGAAAAGGACACATTAGCCTATTGTAATGCGCATTAGCAAAAGCGCACTTTTTTGCGACGCTTTAATACGCATTACAATAGGCTAATGCGCATTAAAGCGCACATGTAGACACACCCTGTTTCTCCTAGCTGTAAAATGGGGGAGCTCCAATTTAAAGTGCTTTGGGAATGGAGAAGCAAATTCTGATCTCTCGCCTGTGAAATCAGGTAAATAAACCCATTCCCGATCTGCAACGTTTTTACTTAAAGCCTAGTCTAGTCTCTCCTATAACATTAATATTTCTGCCTAACCAGGACCTCTCTGATGGTCTTGTCCTACAGCAGGCCTCAAAATGTAGGAAACTTCTTTAAAAACATTCAGGATAACGAGAGCAAAGTGAAGAGAGAGTAATATAAGCGATTTGATAATAAAAGTAACAGAACAATACTTACCAGCGTTATCTTCCATTTCTCTGGTACGCTCGTTTTGTGAAAAACTGCAAAAGAGAGGAAAACCAAAATTGAAACATAAGGTGATAAAAGAAAACCTTGCATTTTACCAAAGGCACCGCCTAGTTTAGCTTCACTGTCGGAAGAGGTCTTCGTACATCCTCATGAAACCTGGGCGACGTCCCACCCAGTAAGGTTGGGGATGAAGGAGTCTCCACTCCTTTGCAGTAACAGAGCAGGAAGTCCCAGCGTGATATTGAAATTCATCCCAGATAGCTTCCAGTGTCACACGGAATGGGTCTGAACAGGTTTTTGGGGTTGATTTTTTTTTCTGCTGCTGCTATTCCACTCAAATAATCACTACAGCACAACAATCATTTTTTCTGCATAATACATGTTGCAAATCCAAATGGGTTGGGGGTCAGGCTAGATGATCTGTTCAGGTCCCTCCTGACCCTAGCTACTATGAAACGCCTGTAACATCCAGAAAACCTCTACACCTTCTTACCCTGGTGCTAAGTGCAACACCAATCCTATCCAGAATAATACGCATGCAAAATTTTTTTAAAAAGTAGTTTAAGATGCAACTTCCAAGTCCCTTCACATCAATGTGGTTTGACTGCGGCAGCAACTACGCACCCAACAGGACAAAAAGCCAAGTGCTAAACCAGTACCAGATTATGACACGCCGAGGCCCTAAGCTACATCCAGTTTAAGAGGCCCCATACGATAAAAATAACGCACAAAATCCACGAAAATGGATTTTCATGAAATTTTAAGATGAATCATTGTTATTTCTGCACAAATGTAAGAACTCAATATGCATAAGAACTGTGGAGCCATATATAAGTCTATGTTTGTCATATTAGGATGAAAATGTCCAGTTTTTCTTTTTTCTTATTTAGAGGCCCCTCATATTGTGAGGTCTTAAGCTGTAGCTTTAAGTAGCTTAAGCTTAAATCCAGCACTGTGCAAAACTAAGAGGCTGGAGTCTCTGTTCAAAGGAGCTTGCAGTACAAATTCACAGGGACTGATGACAAAACCAGAGTCAGGAGTGAATGAAACGTATGGAGAGAGGTATTTCAAGAGTCACAGTGAGCTCAGGACCCACTTAGACAGGCGATTTCCAGAAGACACCATCCATCATTTCTGCTCAAACCTTCAGCAGTAACAAACTAAAAATACTCTCATTTCACCTTGGTCTCTGGTAGGCAAGAAGCACTAATAGTTTACTGACCAGAAATCCCAGGAGGTTTCCCACTTTAAGGTGTGTTTTTTCCCCCCTTATGATCTCACAAGGTGCAGCAGCATCAACAGGGTACATGAAGCCACTACAAGGCTGCATTACCAAAGGAGACAACACCTTGGCTGGAGGAGAGTTTTTACAAGGTATTGCAAGAACTTCCCTGAACTGAGGAGTGGGGAAGTTGCAGCAAGGGAAGTTGAGGTTGGATATTAGGAAAAACTCTTTAGGAGGGAGGTGAAGCACTGGAACAGGTCACCCAGAGAGGTGGTGGACTCTCCATCTTTGGAGGTTTATAGGACTTGGGTAGACCAAGCCTTGGCTGGGATGGTGTAGTTGGGGCTGATCCTGCTTGGAGCAGCAGCTTGGATTAGATGTGACCTCCTGAGCTCTCTTCAACCCTCATTTTCTATGATGCTATGCTTGGTCTAAAGAGCCAAACTGCTTATTCTCTATGGTGCCATTCCAGCAGTGCCCTTCAACAGGAAAATCAGCCCACCACAAACAAGGAAAACCATACCAGAGCCTAGGGTCCAGCTCCCTGTTGGAGCCGTTCTAACCCATATAGCGGGGTGGCGATAGCATGGTATCAAGATAGGAAATAGCACCTGCTACCCAGCAAGCAGAACACACCAAGGCCTAACCAGCATGCTAAACACTTTGTTAGTCAATCCCCTGGGCTCCAGATTGCCATCTCTGCAGCAATTCCAGCCAAGACTGCCCGCTAGCACTGGTACAAAAGCACTCTCGCTTGGCTCGGTGGCGAGGACACTACCTGGAAGGACAAAACACAAGAGCTCGAATGAATTGCACATGCAGCTTTCCACCAGGGTCAGCCCGGCTGGTTTACAGCCTCCTTCCCCCCAAACCAGATGAGCCGTCATCCCCTCAAAGCTCAGCTGGCAAGGTAGAGAACATCTGTAGATCAAGCCTCCATACCTACAGTCTCCGAAGGCAGGAGAGGAATGGAAACGGCCCCCTCCCGACTAGGGCATCGTCAGACAAACAGCCGCCCTCCTGCCACCGTTCCCCAAGGGATGTTGCTTGCTTTTCCCTTTCAAGGACGCTTCTGCGTTGGCTCTGCTCCCTGAGATCTGTTTACTACAAAGGGCACATTTGTGATTGGAATACTAATTCTTCCAGCGCTCTCCCCACCGATTGCCAAGTGCCTGTACTGCAAGGACATCTGCCGCCGCCGAGCACGGCTGGAAGTCATATTAGCCTCAACGGGAGAGGCTTCTCCCTAGCACAACACTAAAGCAAAGAAGCAAAAATCATCTTCTTATTCTACAGAAGACAATGCAGTAGGGAAGGGCACCGAGGTCTACTGGTACAGCTGGGTCAGGATGCCGAAGTTCCTGCCTCTCCCATGCAACTATGCGAGTGGGAATAGGATGCCTCAATTTAGAAACCCAGGAAATGCCTTAGTGGGCTGGATTAGCGGTCCCGCTAGTTGAGCTCCCCGTCTCCAATAGCATCCACTACTTCAGAAGGACTTCTGCAGCAAGACGGTCCTAAAATAATTTAGTAGGCAACAGTTGATCCGTCTGGATCATGGTGTATGCATGCGAGGTCACCAGGACCTTCAACATGTTTGCCTGGGCAGGAGCATGGAGGGGTGGAGGCTGCCCAGACCTTCGCCCCTGTAGACCACCGAGGTCAGACCGAGTCCAGATGTTCGGTACCCCGACAGCTGTATTTACGTGCACATCTGGGAATCAAACCTGGGTCTCACTAAGGCAGACAAGGACTCTACCACCGAACCACAACAGCAGGGCTCAAAGTTTGGGAGCACGCAAGGGCTGCTACCGCAGGCTGACGTTCAAGGGCCCACGGCCAGCTGAGAATGACAAGAGGATATATTGCATAGCTTTTATCACCTTTCCTACGGCAGTCCTGCAGTAGTGGGCGCACCTCACATCTGTGGTGGAACAGGCTGAAAGACCCGGGCACAAGCCAAAAGACGTGGGTTTCCTCCCAAAACTATTTGAGTTCTGTGAAAAGACTTAAAAAAGTGCCCCAATCACAAATTCCTCCTGCTCTAAAAGTCAGAGGTTGCCTTAGCCACCGTGTATACAGTCCTTAAGAAATGGTTTGTGTTGGTGGGTTTGTTGGGGGGTTTTTTGGACAGTCTTGCTCTCTACAAGTGTTTAATCACTTTTAGAAACCAACTATTGACTTCAATGACACCCTGTAACTAGGAAGTTAAATTGTGTGTTGAATGGAAAAGGCTTTTTTTTTTTTTAATCAGTTTTAAATGCACCACCTTGCAACGTTATTGGCTGCCCTTGTTCTTGCGTTATGAATCCGGGTAAATGGAGCACGTCCTCCTTGTCTAGGAAATAACTGTATCACATCCCCTCTTAATGGGCTTCTCCAAGACAAAGTTGCTTCATGAAGTCTTTCAGATGCTTGGGTCGGAGGGGGCCCCAGCAGATCGTCGGGAGTCAATCTCTTCTAATCAGTTTATGCAGGCGTCTTGCTTCCATCAGCCATTTCTGAACCCACTCTTATTATGCAAGAGCCGTTTGGAGATGGTCGTGTCATGCATTGGAGGGTATAACTGATTTATAATAGCTCTGCACCATTTTTAACGGTTCTCCATTTTATTCCTTACGCATCTTAACATGCTGTGCTGTAATCCTGAGTCTTCCTTCTGCAACCGATGCTCAGTTATTTGTCTCGAGCTGACATTGGTAGTTTTGAACATAGCACGAGTAGTTTAAATTGTTCCCCCCGACCCAGGTTATTTTCCAGTCGTCAGCGAGTCCCCTCTGCCTTGCATTGCCCGTTCATTTAACTGGGTCAGGGCCGTCGGAGGGCCCACACCTGCCTCCAGCCTCGACTAATCGAAGGCATTTTGATAGCCGCAAATTTTGCCTCGTTGCCTCCATGGTATATTATCAATTTTTTACAACACTGAAGCTCATATAAAAGCTTGTAGTGAGTGATCTGCTAGGAACCTTCTGCCATGATAGGAAGCCGTGAAAACAGCTAATGTTCTGGCAAGCAGGGCTTTGCTTTGATATGGATTGTGGTAGCTAATGAAAGACACAATCACAGCACCATCGTTAAGCTGAACAGCACCTTTTAATAAATGTTAAGACTACCAAAGAAGCCTGCTCTCAAACAACGACCGGGTCCAACCACAGAGGGATTCACTTGTGATTTGATGTGGTGCCGACAGACGCGTTCACTGCGTGTTGCTAGCTCAATCGTGGGCTGTACGCTACAATACACCCCACGCTGATTTTAAAAGGTATTTATATTCTGACAGTGGCCAGAGGTGCCATACAACATCCACTACATGAAACGCTGGGCAAACACAAGTAAGAGACTGTCCCTTCCCGGAAGAACTGAATACATTTGCAAGACAAAGGGGAGAGGAAAGGGTTGCAATTAGCAGGGGAACTGAGGCATGGAGATCGACGCGGTGTAGAAGGTCCGAGGCAGATTTTGAGACGAAGCCAGCTTCCAAGGTCTCATCCTACAGCTTGGGGTTAAGACATTCAACTAGCCCTCCTCCTCACTGCGTTAGCCCCCAAAAGCAGATAATTCAGCCTTGCAAAAAAAGAGCGCAACAAAAAAAACCTGCCAGCCGAAGCATTAGATCCGCTGGCCCATTCATTCCCATGCAAAACGAATGACATCTCACGCCCTTGCCAAGCAGTTACACGTGACAGCAAGGCGGGCGCGGAGGTTTTTGCAAGGCTGAGATAACTTGCATCATGCTCCGTTATGCTGCCCACGGCGGGCGCCACGCACAGCCCTCACGGGAAGGGGCTGTAATAACTCAATTAATCT